CTTATTACTGTTTTTTCTTTTTAAGATTTTATTTATTTATTTATTTGAGAGAGAGAGGGAGAGAGAGCATAAGCAGCAGGGAGGGGCAGAGGGTGAGAAAATCTCAAGCAGACTCCCCACTGAGCAGGGAGCCTGATGCAGGGCTTGATCCCAGGACCCCAAGATTAGGACCTGAGCTGAAGGCAGATGCTTAACCGACTGAGCCACCCAGGTGCCCCTACTTACTAGTTTTTATTTTTAGTTAGAAATTACTTTAAACTTACAAAAAAGTCTGCAAAATAGTGCAAAGAACTCTTGCTTACCCTTCTTACAGATTCACCAACTGTTAACCTTTTGCCACGTTGCTTTCTCTAATCTACAGTCTTTATTCAAATCTTGCTACTTGTCCCATTAATGTCCTTCATAACAACTTTCATTCAGGGTCCAAAACAGGATCATGCATTGCATTTAGTTTTCATGTCTCTTAGTCTCCTTTGACCTGAAACAGCTTCTCAGCCTTCCTTTGTCTCTTATGACATCCACATTTTTGAACAATAAAGACTACTATAGTTGTCTGTTTACATTTATCTGATGTTTCCTCATGATTATGCATTACTGCTGAATTGATGTTGTGTTTTCTCAGTTTAATATATCAGAAAGCACATGATGTCAACTTGTCTTTGTTAAAGAAAAAGTTTTCAAGACACTCATTAAAGATGGTGAAAGAGACTTTATTCAAGAGGGACCGCTGCAGTGCGCTTCAAGTGTGGTCAGTTTTCCCTGTGATTCTAGGGAATCTAGGATACTCTTTTCTTCTTTGTAATTAATAAGTATCTTCTTGGGGGCTGCCTGGCTGGCTCAATTGGTTAAGCATCTGCCTTCGGCTCAGGTCATGATCCTGGGGTCCTGGGATGGAGCCATGTTGGGCTCTCTGCTCAGTGGGGAGTCTACTTCTCCCTCTCTCTCTGCTCCTCTCCCCCTGCTGGTGTGCTTTAAAAAAAAAAAAAAAATCTTGGAACATACTTTGAAACTATATAAACAGCCTGTTTCTCATCAAACTTTTACTCATTAGTTTTAGTATCCATGAATGATTCTCACTGGAATCAATTATTACTGATTGGAGATGGATTTTCTGACCTCATTATTCCTCCTGCTATGAGTAAGAGCTTTCCTTTCATATTTGTTTAGTTAATGTTAGTATGTACTTAATAGAGATTATTTTATTCAGTAGGTAATAATTTGTTACTGTGATTGGTTTGATGCTTCAATTGTCCCTGATTAGGCCAGTGGAAGTCCCTTCCAGCTGGCTCCTTTGTTTGACATATTTGAACCATCCTTTATTTTTTGGCACAAATTGTTCCGGGCTCATCTTGTACCTTTCCTTTCCTTTTAAACTTTTTTAATTTTTTTATTTGACAGAGAGAGACAGCGAGAGAGGGAACACAAGCAGAGGGAGTGGGAGAGGGAGAAGCAGGCTTCCCGCTGAGCAGGGAGCCTGACGCGGGGCTCGATCCCAGGACCCTGGGATCATGACCTGAGCCGAAGGCAGACGCTTAACGACTGAGCCACCTAGGCGCCCCAGTCATCTTGTACCTTTCCTGCTACAGCCTCGGAACCAGCCATTTTCCCAGTGGGCCTGGTTCCTTTTAGTGGAGAATGAAATTTAGAAATTTAGATCGGGCTGCTGCTGGCTGTGCTTGTTGCTACCAGGGTGTCAGCGCTCAGTGATTCCATTTCTAGGACTACTGATTCAACAATTTAATACTTGTACGTGTGAACAAAGATGCATATTCAAGGACATTTGTTTTCTCATCAGCCTCACTACTTCCAAGTAAGACCAAGCCACCATCTGATTTTGCCTGTATTACTTTAAAAGCCTCCCAACTGGTCTCCCTGTTTACACAATGGCCGCTCTACAGTCTCTTTTCCACACAACATCCAGAACAATTAAAAAAGGGACACCTGGGTGGCTCAGTCAGTTAAGCATCTGCCTTTGGCTCAGGTCATGATCTCCAGGTCCTGGAATTGAGCCCCATATGGGGCTCCCTGCTCAGTGGGGAACCTGCTTCTCCCTCTACCTGCCTCCATCCCCCCTACTCATGCTCTAATAGATAAATAAAATCTTTTTTTTTTAAGATTTTATTTATTTGTTTATTTGACAGAGAGAGACATAGCGAGAGAGGGACACAAGCAGGGGGAGTGGGAGAGGGAGAGCAGGCTTCCCACAGAGCAGAGAGCCCGATGTGGGGCTCGATCCCAGGACCCTGGGATCATGACCTGAGCTGAAGGCAGACGCTTAACGACTGAGCCACCCAGGCGCCCCTAAATAAATAAAATCTTAAAAAAAAAAAAAAAGAATAATTTAAAAAAATCCAATCACATTCTCTCCTGCTTGTAACACTCCGCCCACTAAGAATAAAATCCAAAATTCTCAACATGGCTTCAAGGCACCACGGGATCTGGCTTCATCCCTAACCCCATTAGCTCCCACTTTCTTGCTCGATCACAGGACAAGGATACTCCAGCCACAGGGTTGTTGTACCTGCTTTTCTCCCCCAGGTATTCAAATGGCTTGTGAAGGTCTTTAGTAGGTCTCCACTCAAGAATCACCTCTTTGGGGAAGCCTTCCCTGGCTATCCTATTGAAAACAGCACCCCATCACTTAATAACTATCTGACATTATGTCATATGTTCACCAGTTGCTTGTTGTCAGTCTCTGTTTCTCTGGGTTCCACCTCTAAAGTAAGCTCCCTGAGGGACTTTTTTGGCTCTCTCCTGTAACCCCAGTCCCTAGAATACTTGCCTGGTGTATTGTGGATTCTCAAATGGCTGCTGAGGGAATGAAGATAACTTTCATTCCTTGGGGCTTTTGCACCCACCAGCTCTCTGCCTGGCTTCTTTCTCACCCTTCTCTTTGCATGGCTAGCTTTGTCACATTCTTTAGCTCTCAATTTAAATGTCACCTCCTCAGAAAGCTTCCCTGTTTACCTTATTCTAAGTTCCACTACTGCACTTGTCTTTCCTATCTCAGCCTCTCATTCCTGCTGTAATACTTATAACAATTTGCCTTTATCTGTTTGCATGGTGTCCCATCCCCATTTCTTCCCCTAAAATGCAAGCTCCATAAGGGCAGAAACTGCCATGGCTGTCTCATTCATTACTGTATCCCCAGGGCCTAGAACAGTTCAAGAAATTGTTGGATAGACTTTTAACAGCTAAAAACTGGAAAGAATCCAAATGCTATAGAATATTGGGTGGTTGTTGAAGAATGAGGTAGCTCCATGTGCACTGGCACAGAATGATGTCCACAATATACTTACAGTAAAATATTAACAGGTAAAACAGTGTTAATTCCTTTTAGGTAATTAATATTATGTGCACAGAAAAAATATAGGAAAAATAACAGCTTGGACCCTACCAATTATTTGGGAATAAGGATATTAAAAAGACCTTAACTTCCTATTTTATATATTTCTATGTAGCAAATTATATTTTTTATTTTTTTAAATTTATTTATTTGAGGGGCACCTGGGTGGCTCAGTTGTTGAGTGTCTGCCTTTGGCTCAGGTCATGGTCCCAGGGTCCTGGGATCGAGCCCCGCATCAGGTTCCTGCTTGGCGGGGAGCCTGCTTCTCTTTCTCCCACTCCCACTGTTTGTGTTCCCTCTATTGCTGTCTCTGTCAAATAAATATTTTTAAAAATCTTTAAAATTTATTTATTTGAGAGAGAGAAGGGGGGAGGGGCAGAGGGAGGGGAAGAGAGGGAGAGAAGCAGACTCCCTGCTGAGTGTGGAGAGATCTCAGGACCCCCGACCCCAACCCCAAGACCATGACCTGAGCTAAAATCAAGAGTAGGACACTCAACTGAAACACCCAGGCACCCCCAACAAACTATATTTTTCAAAACGAACACTAACATTTGATCACTTAGTACATGCCAGGCACTGTGGTAAACATTTTGTGTGCAGCATTTCAAGGCATCTTCTCAATAACCTCATGAGATAGAGGTCCTAATACTATCACCCCCATTTGCAATGAAGAAATTGATTCAGGGACATTATGCAATTTACCTAAGGTCACATAGCAGACCCATTACACTACACCACCTCCCTGTGTCTTTGTAATTTAAGGGAAAAAAAAAAAGGAGAGGAAAATAAGATGAAACTAGGGGTGACCGTTCAGGATCCAGGCTTTACACAAAAGATACTAAGCAAATTTGGCCCTGAGCTCCCTAGAAGCCAGGGCAAAAAGAAAAATATGATCAGTTATGAGATCCTTGGTGCTTCCAAAATTAAACCACTCATAAGGAGAAAAACTCTTCCCAAGTGGTGAGGCTTGAGAGCCCTTCCATGAGGTTCATAAATACAGCAGTATTCAGTCCAGTGGTGTACAGGCTTCAGTAACATACCTGTATACCGAGGCAGCTGTTGGCCATCCAACAAGTGGAAATTCAGTAAAAACAATTCCACAAGGAGCCATATTTGTACAGCATGGGTATCAGATCTGGAGTCCTGCCAGACCTATAGTTAAAATTGGATGTGTGGCCTAACCCTCCAGCAAACTCCTGGAATACTGCAAATTCAGCCTGTTAAAGACTGGTAGTAAGGAGACAAGAAGTGACATTCATCTGAAATTTCAACCCTAGTGCATTTTCCCGGTAGGCTGGGTTGATTTTATGCTTCTTTTACAAATGAAGAAACTGAGGCTCGGAAAGCCCAGTTACACGACTAGAAATGTCAGTGGTAGCCCTAAATCTATGTCTTAGACATTCCTTCCTCAGCCACGCCTACCACCCACGCTTCAACAAAAGAGCTTAGGCCCTCAGACTCTCTCGGCGGATGGTGAGCTGCCGGGCCTAAGAAGCCTATGGTCCTGCACACTGGAGAAGAGCTGCTGAAGCAGGGAGCTCGGCCCCACCCGTGAGGAGGCACACTGGCTCTTCCCGAGCAGGGGAGTAAGGCTCACGTTACAGAGATGAGGAACACCCCCACCCACCCCAAACAGAAAAGCGATCTCGCAGCATACACTTGACTTCACTCATTTATTTACTTTTTACTACAACCTGCGGATAGGTGGGCCCTGGGCTTGGGGAGGAACTTGGGCAATTCGGGAAGCTCTGTTAAACGAAGGAGAGGAAAAAGGGAAAGTAGGGGCTTGGTGCAGGGCAGTCTTCTAAGATCGGGAAGAGGAGGGAGAGACGAAACAAAGGGTCCACGCCCTTCTTCCCGCCGCACACCCAGGTTTCCCAAGGCCGAGTGGGAGGGAAGAGAAACAGGACATCCACCCGGAGATGTTCTTGATCTCTTCTCGCCCTTCCCCCGCTATCCAGCAATAACGCGAGAGAAATCAGAGAAGTGCAGCAGGTGGGCGGCGTGCAGGCCTGGTTTAAAAAAAAAAAAAAAAAAGCGAGGTGATAGGTGCACCCAGCGCCGGCGCACCGCGGAGGTCTCCCTCGTGGCGGGCTGAAGGCGGCGAGCGCAGGGGAGGAGAGCCGCGCGCGTGCTCACCGGGCCGGCCGCCGGGCCCTGCGGCGTCCTCAGCTCGGGCCTTTCCTCTTCCTCCGGCGGCCACGCTCCGCCGCTTCCGTGGCCGGGCTGCTGTCGCCGCTGTCGCTGCTGGCAGGCGGCCGCAGCACACGCCTCTGCACACGGTACTCGGGTTCCGGGACGTGCGGCGCGCCCTGAAGCAGGAACTGGCCGCCGCGGTAGGTGACGCGCACGTCGGTGCGCGGGTACGTGCCGTACACACGCCGCAGCTCCCGGCGCACCACGTCCGGCAGCTCGAGGCGCGGGCCGTGCGCGCGGTGCACGTGGCCCCAGCGCAGCTCGGTCTGCAGGGTGCCGCCCTCGGGCCACGGCGCCCCGCGGTGAGCAGCCGCCGTCCCTTCTGCCGCGGGCCCTTGTAGCGATGGCCCCAGGTAGCCGGGCGCCGGGAAAGGCGGGTACAGGGCCGCGGCGTAGGCCTGCGGGAAGGCCCACGAGGGCAGTGCTGCCGCCAGGGGCGCGCCTGAGCCATGGAAGCAGTGGTATTCCCGCGGAGCCGGCCACTCGCCCGCGGTGAGGCTGGGGGGCCGACTGCAGAAGCTGTGGGCGTGGATGGGGAGCAGCAGCAGAGAGCCGGGCAGGTAGGTGTAGGTTAGGGGCTGCAGCGGAGGCCAGGCGCCCTCCCCGGATGCCAGGCAGCTGTACGAATACATGGTCTGAAGCTCAGGCGGCGGGCATTTTTACTGGGGCCTGGTCCAAACCTGCGGTGGGGGTGTGTGTGGATACCCTTTGTTCTGTCTCCACCACCCATCCCTGGGGCTTGGTAACCCAGGGCTCTGGCTCACAGCAGGAGCCCACGTGCAGTACCTGATGGTTTGGGGGAACTCTTCCTAAGGCATTCAGCTTCCATCTCACCTCTTGTCCCAGGGCTGAGCCGAGCCCCAGACTCTCAGTAAGCAGTAAGGACCCAAGACCTTTTCAAGCCTTCGCTCGTGAAGTGTTCTTCCCAGGTGGCTCCGCACTCGTCTCCTTCAACCCAGGGGGAGTTGGTCCCCAGCATTTGGGGGAGCCAGAGAAGTCCAGAGCAGGCTCCTCTCCACCACTTTTTAGTGGCTCTGCTCCCCTCCATGCCCTGCCTCAGCCACACCTCTTGGTTTCCAGGCAAAGGGAAACACATTTTGCTGGCCAGAAGCCAGCCAGCCTGTATCTACACCGGGTGAGCCTGCTGGTTGTACCTGCCGGCCCTGGACGGTGAGGCCTGTGCTCAGGGATGTCCTCACTCCTACATCACTGAGAATATCTTGGTGCTCTTTCCAATCAGTTAGCCACCTATTCCCCACACTCCATCCTCCCAGCCCTTCCAAATGGGTCGAGTTATCCTAACATTTGAGTGAAGCTCCTACACCAGGTACTGAATCAAGTTGCTTATGAGTATCTAAGTTTACATCAACCCTAGGAAGGAGATACTAATATTTTCCCCACTTTACGTAGGAGGAAGCAGCTTGCCTCAAATTTGGTAGTAAATGTATTCTATGACTAGGAAACATTTCCAGTGTTGTAGGCTATGTAGGTTAAAGTGTATTGCCCAGACTCACACAGCTAGTTATGGTAAGAGCAAAATTCAACCCCATGTCTGTCTCAAGAATCGTGATTGGTAATTAGCTTTATAGCCAATCCATGCTGGGACTTCTTTCACACTGTCTCCAATCCTCCCCTCTAGAATGTTACATAAGAACTAATTCTTTTTTTTTTTTTTAGATTTTATTTATTTATATGACAGAGAGAGACATAGCGAGAGAGGGAACACAAGCAGGAGGAATGGGAGAGGGAGAAGCAGGCTTCCTGCTGAGCAGGGAGCCCGATGCGGAGCTCGATCCCAGGACCCTGGGATCATGACCTGAGCCAAAGGCAGCCGCTTAACGCCTGAGCCACCCAGGCGCCCCAAGAACTAATTCTTAATAGCCATGTGAAGAACATGGTAATATCATTTTCACTTAATTGATAAGGAACCAGAGGCTCAGAGAAGTTAGGACACTTTCCCAGGTTTATACAGTCTAGGTAGCCCAGTGGGATTTGAACCCAGTCCAACTAAGGCCAAAGCCCAGAAGCTACTTGGGTGAAGATTGCTTCATCCAGGTGGTGTAAAGCCCTCTCTAAGCTCCAGTCCCCTCTGGCTGCAAGCCACAGTCCTCCACCTCTTTCTTCCCCAGTGGGGTGGGTGGTAGTTGCTGGATACTTAAAACTGATACCCTCTCCCAGCTGCTGAGCTGCTGGGCCATCATACTTTCCTTCTTCCTCTTCTCTTGACTCAGGCAGCATCCCCAGTAACCCCCACAGGTTCTCCTCTAAGTTCTCAGTGTCTCACAAAGGCCAGCTACCCTCTGAGAAGTTCTACACTCACCCTGATGATGTCACACTTTTATATTCCTGACTGAGCTGCTCTCCCAAGTTTTGGGCCATTGGCCTGGTGAATAGATACTGGAACCGGGTATCTACCTAACACTCCCTACCCCAGAGCTCCAAGAAGGGAGCCTCACCCTCTGTGCACTCTAGGAACTAGTCCCAAGACACAGTGGCCTTTGTTGGGAGAGGCCTTCACTGCCAAGATGTCCACAACCTAATCCCTGCAAACCTGCCAATATGTTATGTTACATGGCAAGGGGGAATTAAGGTTGTCGATGGTATTAAGTTTGTGAATTAGCTGTCCTTAAAAGGAGATTATCCTGGATTATCCAGATAGATCCAGTGTAATCACAGGTGTCCTTTAATGTGGAAGAGGGAGGCGGAAGAGTCAGAGTGATGTTATATGAGAGTGAATGAGCCATTGCTGGCTTTGAAGATGTAAGGGGGTCATGAGCTAAGGAATGCAGGCAGCCTTTGGGAGCTGAAAAAGACAAGGAAATGGATTCTTCCCTAGAGCCTCCAGAAAGGAACACAGTTCTGTCAGCACCTTGATTTTAGTTAGTGAGGCAGACTTCTAACCTCCAAAACTCTAAGATAATAAATTTGTATTGTTTTAAGCCGCTAAGATTTTGGTGATTTGTTACAGTGCCAATAGGAAGTTAATATACCTCCCCATTCCTATTTATAACTTTGCCCTCTCCAAATCTCAGCACTTGAGGAATGTCCGAGACTACCTATAGACTGACCTCACCCAGGCCTGGAGCTCAATCATGGGCCCTATGGGACTGGCCCCTTTCTCCACCTGCTCCCACATGGGGATCTGGTCACACCTGGGTGGGAGGTGGGGAGAGTGTGAGACCAAGCTCAAGTTGGAGACTGGGACGGTGAGAAGCCTGTATTTTATTTTATTTATTTATTTATTTATTTAAAGATTTTATTTATTTATTTGAGAGAGAGAGAATGAGAGAGAGCACATGAGAGGGGGGAGGGTCAGAGGGAGAAGCAGACTCCCCGCCGAGCAGGGAGCCCGATGCGGGACTCGATCCAGGGACTCCAGGATCATGACCTGAGCCGAAGGCAGTCGCTTAACCAACTGAGCCACCCAGGCGCCCGAGAAGCCTGTATTTTATTTTATTTTATTTATTTATTTATTTTTTAAAGATTTATTTATTTATTTGACAGAGAGAGACACAGTGAGAGAGGGAACACAAGCAGGGGGAGTGGGAGAGGGAGAAGCAGGCTTCCCGCGGAGCAGGGAGCCCGATGCGGGGCTCGATCCCAGGACCTGGAATCATGACCTGAGCCGAAGGCAGACGCGAAGGCAGACGCTTAACGACTGAGCCACCCAGGCGCCCCGAGAAGCCTGTATTTTAATAATTAGTCCGTACATGCTTGCTGAAGACCTCTGCTGGTCTGGTGGTGGTTCAGGTAAAATGGGAAAAATAAGGACCAAACTGAGTTTCTCAACATTCATCCTGATTCCAGTAACAGCTTCTAGATTTTTGAGGTCCCATACCTTATCTACTCAATAAAGTGGTTCTGGGGGAGTTGGCTCTATTCTATCCTTAAAGTTAGGGGTGATTTATGGCTAGATCAATCGCACTGCCATCCCTCTGGCCATAAGAATTGGTTGAGGGTAGCCAGGTGACTCAATTGATCAGTGGAAACCAGGCCCAGGACTTTGTTCTCTTGGGGTGGAGGGAAGTGCTCTCTTTCCCCTGGACAGAAATCTGAAGGAATGCAGTCTGGGTGGAGAGGTGAAGGCCTGTCTGAGCATGGAGCCACAGAAGAAGTGGAACCAAGAGACAGAAAGAGAAATTAAGTCCCGATGACATAATTTGAATCCTGGACTTTAAAGTTACATGAGCCAATAAATTCCTTTTTTCCCTTCCAGTTTTATTGAGATATAATTGACATACACCACGGTATAGGTGTAAGGTATACAGCAAATGATTTGACTTAACGTATATTGTACAATGATTATCACATTAAGTTTAGTCAATACCCATCATCTTATAGATAAAAAAAGGTTTTTTCACATGTGATGAGAACTCTTAGGATCTACTCTCTTAACTTTCAGATATACCATGCAGCATACAGCAGTGTTTATAATCCTCATGTACATTACATACCTAGTACTTCTGGAACTTTACCTTTCGACTACCTTCCTCCAATGCCTCCTCCCATCCCCCCCCCAATAAATTCCTTTCTTGCTTAATCTGGTTTGAGTGGACTCTTTTTTCTTTTCACACACCAGTTGTGTTTACTTCATATAAATTTAACTACAGAAGACAATGAAATAGACTTTTATTTTTAATTACAAAGCACCATCATCTAAGTCCTTAGAAAATTAAAAGTTTGGGTTATTGCACTGTGGAGTGGAGTCTTCTGTTGTTTGCATCGCCGATAACACTGAGTGTTTTCCCCAGCATTTAATGAAAATTTTCAAAATGCAACAACCTGCATAGTTTTTGATCTGTGAACCCCATGATCAGAGGCTCTCCTGTTGGCAAAGTGGAGGATAGATTGGTGAGAGAGAGGCTGGAAGCTAGTCTTGGAGGAGGTTCTCACACTAGCCCAGGAAAACTGACAACCAAAACAGGAGCTGGAGATGGAAAAGAGATGGGAGCAGATTCATCTAGAGTTGACCCCATATAACTGCCTGGGTGGAGAGGGTAGCATAAAGGTGGATGCACATGTTTTTGACTTAGTTTCCTGGGTGGGTAGTCGAGGCAAGCCTGGAAAAGAAAAAAAACCCTTGTGGGCGATTGGAAGTTGAGGAAATGGTGCAGTCAGGGAGTTCATTTGGGGAGCTGTCCGGCATGTGGTTTTATCTTCAGGCTGGAGATGGGAGGTGGGGTAGTCATGAAGGGAAAAGCAGTAGGTGAAGGACTGGAATAGCTGCTACCTGGCCTGCGCCTCACTGTCGTCATGGCTGCCAATTTGTTGGGTTCTACTTACACCTTGTGAAGGCAGCAATCTTGTGTTTGAAGTCCCTTTTACCCCAGATAGCCTATGGCCTGGCAAGTTTGAGTGAATAAATGAAAAGAGTTTTGAAAATGGAAGCTTGGAGGCGGGGGAGGCGGGGGGGAGGGTTGCCTGGGTGGCTCAGTTGGTAGCATTTGCCTTTGGCTCAGGTCATGATCCTGGAGTCCCAGGATCGAGCCCTGCATCCATCAGGCTCCCTGCTCAGGGGAGAGTCTGCTTCTCCCTCACCCTCTGTTCCTCCCCTTCTTCCCCCCGGCTCGTGTACTCTCTCTCTCTCACTCTCTCAAATAAAATCTTAAAAAAAAAGAAAATGGAAACTTGGGTGACCTGCCCTCTGATTTTAGAAAGCCCCTGGGAAAAAAGTGTCCTAGTGAAGGGGACTGAGGAGGAGTTGTTGGGAGGAGAACATGATGAAACCTATATCAGAGAGGTCAGAAGCCAAGGGAGGAGAGAATTTCAAGGAGAGAGACTGTTTATGTATCTATTTGTCCCACAATTCAGGGATTCTGGTATGACTCAAGAAGTCAGGCAGATGATATTATCCCCCAGTTGCATCCTATGTCCCTTCCCAGTTAGCTCTGTGGCTGGCAACCAGGAAGGGAAATTGGAGATAATCACAAGGCCTAGTCCTGGTGCTGACACAAGAGGTTAACTGGTTACATTGTTTATAAAATTAGAGGGATGAGGGGGTACCTGGGTGTCTCGGTTGAGCGTCTGCCTTGGGCTCAGGTCATGATCCCACAGTCCTTGGGATTGAGCCCCACTTTGGACTCCCTGCTCGGTGGGGAGCTGCTTCTCCCTCTCCCTCTGCTGCTCCCCCTGATTGTGCTCTTTCGTGCTTTCTGTCAAATAAATAAATAAATAAATAATAAATAAAAATCTTTTAATAAAAAAAATCAGAGGGATGAGGAGCCTCAGTGTAACCATGAGACATTAAGTGCAACATAAGGGCCAAATTTTTTCCAATGGGTCACATTCATTTCTGGCCCCTCGGTAGCCCTTTCCATTCCCCTGTTCTCCCACTGGACTGGAGGACTAAGTAAAGAGTCAGGGTTGCTTTGCAACAAAGGCACATGCTGGTCAAAAATGGAAAGGCAGGGGGAACTCCTTTAGTCAATTTATGGAGGCCCTAGTGTGCCAGACACCATGTTGAATGCTAGGTTTCCAGCCTTGTATTCTCAGCCAGGAAAACACAGATGGGAGAAAGGGGTTGGGATGGGAGAATAATGGTCACCTTCTTTTTAGTCATGAGGGCTTCCTAGAGCAGGAGGGGGTTCCAGAAATTGCTTGAAGTCTAGAAGAGAAATGATGTATGTTGCTTCGAGGGGACGTAGGAGGTAAGAAGAGGGTCTGAAGGGACAGGATTGGGGAGAAATGAGATTGGTGAGTGGTGGATGCTGGGAGCAAAGTTCATGGGACTGCTGGGGCTCCACAGGAACTGGTTGGACAGACTCTAACCCCTGAATACCAGGGCTCTAGTGTTGGACCATTTGCTGTGGGTGGGCCCTTTGCCAGGTTGTCAGGCAGGAGGAAGAGGATGATTTTTCTGTTGACAACCATCAACAAAAGCATAATGACCAAAAGCTGGCAAAATTCTTACACTCCCATTACCCACTTAATGGCTACAAAATCCCTCTAAGGCATAAAACAGAGGCTCACAAAAGGAGGGTCCCCCCCTTTTTTTAAAGATTATTTATTTATTTATTTATTTGACAGAGAGAGAGAGGGAACACAAGCAGGGGGAGTGGGAGAGGGAGAAGCAGGCTCCCCGCGGAGCAGGGAGCCCAATGCGGGGCTCGATCCCAGGACCCCCGGATCATGACCTGAGCCGAAGACAGACGCTTAACAACTGAGCCACCCAGGCACCCCAGGAGGGTCCCTTAACAAAGAAGTGGAGCTAGGGGACTGGGCCCCAGGTCTCCCGGAACCCAGGTTCCCCCCATGATCATTGCCCCATATCATAAGGTAGAAAAACTGTAGGCCTGAAGTGTGTGCTGTTTGATTGCCTGGAAAACTAACCAGCCTTACAGGCCTATTGTGAAAAGACATGGGACATCCTTACCAGACTGTACTGAGCGAAACAAAACTTGACTTTGAGGCCCTGGGCAGGGGTAGGAAGAAGAAAGACTGTTCTGAGAGGCAGAAGAGCTGGGTTCCAGCTAGTCTGGGCCTCTTGCTTGTAGGAAAGTCATTGAATCTCTCTAAACCTGTTTCCTCTTCTGTAAAATAGGGATAACAGCACCTGCCTCCGAGGGATGATGTGAGGACTCAACAAGATAATGGATGCAGAGTGCTTAACACAGTACAGGGCATCTAGTGAGAGCTCAGTACTCCTTTTACTTTATTATTCTTATTTTTAATTCGAGGAGGGTGGGCTGCATGGTAGCTCTCTCAGGGCCTGGCGCTGTGGCCTGAGCCCTGGTGCCCACACATTAAACTGGGGCTGTCCACTCTTGAGGGGCTCACAATCCAGCATCAGGGAGTCCCAGGTTGTGCCACTGTCATCTCCTCATCCGCCTAGCTGTGCATCTAGTCAGACCACATGGCTTGTAAGAAGGTGCTGTGCTCTCTTCATTCTGCCAATTAATACTAAGGAAGGACCGGGAGAGAGGGGGGAGAGCTTAGAAAGTCTTACTGATTTGAACAGAAATTGACTTTAAGCACCTATAAAGGTGAAAGAGAGGAGGTGAATCGTCAGGAATCCAGGCCACTGCTCTCTTCTTGCCAGCGTCCACGTTTTCTTTTCGGTCCCTAAGGGCATGCGCCCATGACAAATATGGCTGCGGCAGCCTCGGGCGCCGGCACCTGCCGGGGCGCGGTCCCGGGAGCCGCGCGGAGCCAATCGCCGGCTGGGGGCGGAGGGAGAGGCTAGGGAAGCCGCCGGCGGGGCGCGCGCAGGCGCACTGACTCGCACCTGGCTCCAGGCAGCCGCAGGATTAGGCTTCGCCTGCCACGGTATCGGTGAGGGGCTGGCCCGTGGCCCGGGCGCGGGGGCAGGAGCGGGCCGGACTGGGGGCCGATCAGACACAAAGGACGGACCCGAGGGGGACAGGAATGCTGTCGGCTCTGGGAGTCCTGGGGGCTGTCTGCGGGGGGTCCCTGAGGTGATCAGGTTGTGGGTTGGGAGAGCCCTTGGGTCAGGATGGGAGAAGCTTGGGCTCAAGGGGTGAGGGTGGAATCCTTGCAGAAGGGCTCCCTGGGGGGCTGGAGTCGCGGGATGTCTCAGGCCGGGATCCATTTCATTAACATAATGGCCCTTAACCCTGGTGGCGTAGTAGAACCACCTGGGGGGCTTTAAAAGAACACTAACCCTGGGCCCCACCCCCGAAAATTCGGATTGATTGGTCAGGAGTGAGGCCCGGGCCTCGGTATTGAGCAACTCCTCAGGTGACTTTCATGTACAGACGGGCTGAAGAACCACATGTTTCAGCGCCAGCTATTGAGTAAAGACCTCCTGGGTTAGCCCCAGACTCCTCAGTGGCTTGGGAAGGGCAGGTGGTCCCAGGGTGAAGTCGCTGACCCTGCAGTGCTGTGGGGGAGGGAGAGGGGGAAGGTCCCTCCCCCAGGAAGGTGAAAGTTCATTTCCAGCGTGAGGAGGAGGATAGGCCTATTAGTATTTGGAATGGAGAGTGGTCCCCCCCCATCCCCAAACACACACCGCCCACGCCAGGGGAGCCCTCCTGCCGGGACTGGAAGCTGCTGTGGGGAGGGAGACTGGGCAGGGAGACGAGCAAGGCGGCTGTGAAACAGGAAAGGCAGCAGACAATTCAGAGGTCAGCTGCTTGTTGAGAAAAGGACACACCTAATATTTGTGTAGGGTGTTACACCTTTCAATTTCATTTGATACTCCTGAGGACCGGTAGAGAATGGAATTGTTTTCTCCTGCTTCACAGATGTAGGAATAAACTCAGCTAGTTAGTAGTGATAATGTTCAGACTTGACTCAGGGCCCCCAACTCCAAATTATGCTTGTTAGTAGCTTTTTCTCTGTACTAAACTGCTTTGCATACAGCCGCTAGTTCTTTTTTTTTTTTTTTAAGATTTTATTTATAGCCACTAGTCCTTTTGAGGGGAATCAACACCTACCCTCCTGATGCCCCTCACTCTAGGGGCCCAGTCTGGCATTCTTGGTTTCCTCCACCAAATCCACCAGCCCGCAGCCACTATAGGTTGGTTCAGAAATCAGGGAGATGCTACTGTTTCCATCCTTTCTAGTTCTTCATCTTCCAGAAGCCTGATGGGTCAAGAAGAGAGAGTTTTTATGCCAGGGGATTCCTTCCAAACAGATCTAGTTCTGTCACCTCACCAGCCCTCCCAGTGCCCCCCATCCCATTGTCCTCAGGATAGAATCTTGTGTGTGATTTACAAAACCCTTCCTGATCTGGTGTCTTTCTGCCTCCTTGCCCTGAGCTCTCTTTCCATATTGTATCTGCTTTCCTTAGCACGTGGTACAAGCTTAATAAATGTGACTTTTTGTTATCACTTTTCCTCTTTGTGCACCTGTTGCCTTGCTGTACATGTTTTATTCAGCAGGGCTCATCAAGGTTCCCCTGGTTGCCTCTTTCTGACTCCCACAGCCAAGCAGAGCTGAGGGGCACAGTGGGATTTGGGGGTGGCAATCCTAGGGCTACTACTCTTCCCTAGTTCTGGGGATACCCATATTGGCCTTTTAGGGACAAATTGACTCAGCAGGCATTAATTGAGCACCTACTGTGTGGTGAAGGAGCCTGGTGGAAGCAGGGAGTAGAAAACTGGGGTCTGACCTGGTGCTGCTCTTACAGAGCTTGGGTGCTGGAGGAGGGTAAAGGAGGCATTTGGACCCTGATAAAGGAGCCAAGGGGCCTGAGAGGGGAGAGAACACCTGCCTAGGTGTACTCAGGCCTGTGCCACTGAACTGGGCCTTGAATCAGCAGGATTTGATAAGATGGTGGTGGGGTTGGGCATAGTGACATGAGAAATGCTGAGATTTTTTAGTCAAAAACACCACTTCTGTATCTTTGCTCCAGCCCCTAATAGCTCTGTGATTTATTTAACCTTCAGAGCCTTGGTTTCTTCGTTTATAAAATGAGATGGAAATAGTAACAAGAGTTGTAAGGATTCTTGATGATGGATGTAAAAGCCAGACATACCCAGATGCCTGAGAAATGATATGTAGTTACATCTATTTTAAGTGGAAGGAACAGCATGAACAAAGGTGTGGAGGTGGCATTTAAAAGAGAATTTGAGGGATGGCAGGGTATACTAGGCAGCAAGAGGCATCAGTGTTGGGTGCTGGAGAGACCACTTCATCATGGATTTGACAGAAGGAGACTGACTGAAACCCTTTAAAGATCATGAAACCAAACTTGAGAGATATGAAAAAGAGTAACAGTAGCTATTGTTCGTTGAGGATCTCCTATGTGCCAGGCACTGTGCTTGGGGCTTTGTGTACCTTTTGCGTTTCAGCCCTGCAGCAATCCAAGAGGTTGTCATCATCCCCACTTTATACATGAGGAGACCAAGGCCTAGGGAGAAGGAAAGGCTGGCTCAAAGCCACATAACTGGGGACCATCCCAGCACGAGGGCGGGGTGGGCTCCTGTGACCTCCAACAGGCTCTCCTGCCAGGTGCCAAGGTGGGGGTGGAGTTGGCTGGGTTACAGGGTATTTCACCCGGCTTATGCAACTAGGTTGGTGTGGGTTCTAAGCTGTTCCTCCCTTGGAGAGGCAGGGTTGCTATTTTCTGCTGGGGCGTATTGAGGGTGGGAGGGTGAGTAGAGGAAGGCATTTCCTGAGGGAGGAGTGGAATCTGGACGAGTGTGACCCTGCACACTCCTCCCCCAGCCCCCTCTCCTGGGCAGAGGCTCACCTGGACAGGTCACTCTGCCTCTGGCCCTGGCTTGTGGTGGGGGCTTGTATCTGGCTCTCCTGAACTGTGCATGTGTTCCTGCTACTTGTAGACTCTCCTCTTTTGACTTAGCCTTGTGTGCCCTGTCTTGTCTCTCAAATTCCCTTCCCGTGGGAAGAGGCCGGATTACCAGGATATTCCCCTGCTCCTACTCCAGTCTTTTAATAGTGAGCCCAAGAAGAAGCCAGTTTCTGAACATCTTTCATGTAACAGTGCTCTGGGCTCCTGGGCATTAGTTTAGTCCTCCCTGCATTCCTTTAAAGGATGGGCATTATTATTCCCATTCTACAGGTGAGGAAACCAAGGCTCAGACAGCTTAAGTGATTTGCCTGAGGTTACATTCTTAGTACGAAGTGCAGGTGGGATTTAAACCCAGCCTCTCCTGATGGCGAAAGTCACACCCTTCCCATGTCACCGCCCTCTGAGGTTTTCTGCTATTAACCCCAGCATCAGTGCCAGGAGCCAGCTGGTGGAGGCTGGGGACTTGGCCTTCAGGGCTCACCTTCTCCAGCAACCAGGATAAGTCACTGGACATCTGGGTGGGGGCCTGGGACACTTCACTCCCTTTGGACAGAGGCTTTGGAGGTGAGGTGGTGGCCGGGGTGGGGGAGGGTTCTGAAAGGCCCTGGGGAATTTGAGAAAGTGAGCTGGGTTAAGGATAGCACCTTTAGAGGTACATGTTGTGCTTTACAGCCCCAAAGCACCTTTAGATTAATACTCACCCCATCCTTGTGTGGTGGGTTTGGGGGGTCTGAGAGGCTCAACAGCAGTAATCTCTGAAGTTTGAGTGTCCACTGCACTTATGTGCTAAGTGCTTGAGAGTATTTTCCCCTTGACTGCTAAAAATAGTCTTAGGAAGGTTGGTGCCATATCGCAGATCAAGAAACAGACACAGAGAAGTTAAGCAAATTCTTCCAGGTCACAGGTAGTAAATGGTACAGTCAGGACTTAGAAGGCCCCCAATTGTGTTTTCTTTCCATTATGTTCCTTAGAAAGTGCCAGGGAAACTTTTAGGGTGATGGATATGTTCATGATCTCCACTGTGGAGATGGTTTCCCAGGTGCATGTATATGTTAAAACTGATCACTTTGAATATATGCAGATCATTGTGGGTCAGCTATACCTCAATAAAGCTATGGGGGAAAAAAAGTATTTCCCACCAAATGTTCCTTCAGGGGCTTAAGGGCTCCAGGGAGAGGCTAGCTGGCCATCCTCCTGCTCACTGTAGCCCGGGAGAGATTCTCACAGACTTAGCGGCTGGTTTCAGGTTGTTCTAGCTGCTGCTTCTTCCCTCATTCCCTAGCACTAGGCATAGATGGCACCAGGTTGGATCTCTTGAGTGAATTGTCCTCATTTTCCAATGAGCCTGAGAGATCCCACTGAGATTCCCTCCTTTTCCCCCCTCAGGGCCTGTTTTTCTACCAGAGAGTGGCCGTGTCCAGCCCACCCTTCCCAAGGGAGATGGAGGGCAAAGATGCAGGCTCTGCCCTGAGAAACCCCACACGTTGTTGTGGGGGCAGTCAGGAGAGTCTGTGGTACGGTGGCAGGAGGCATCAGTGAGGGGCTGGAGAGAGTCTGGACACAGTGCTGGCTCCTGAAGGATGGGGAGATGGGAGGCCATTTCTGGCAGGGGTACTACCAAGGACAAAGGCCTGGCCAGAGGAGAGGGTGGCTTGAAGACCTAGGGGAGGCTGGGCTGGACAGAGGCCCTGGAGGGGTGGGCACAGAGCAGGAGCTATAGTGGGTCATGGGGCAAGGACATGTCCTGGAGGTCAACTGCTGTTGGACTTGGGCTGAAGTTGGCTCTCCAGGGCCTGACCATGATGGGAAGCAGAAGTTTCAGCTGTGTGTGTCTGTGTGTGCATGTGCATGTGCATGCGTGCACTCACCAACATGTAGATCACGCCCATGGGCAGGCTTGGGTCACAAGGACTCAAAGAGGAACAGCCCCCAAGGGTATGTGTAAGTTTCCTAGGGCTGCCGGAACAGATTACTGCAAATTGGGTGGCTTAAAACAACAAAATTTATTCACTCACAGTCTGAAACAACTCCAGATGGTCACGCTCCCTCCAGAGGCTCTAGGGAAGAATCCTTCTTTGCTTCCTCCTAGCTTCTGGTGGTTGCCTGCAGTCCTTGGCATTCCTTGGCTTGTAGCTGCATCATTCCAATTTCTGCTTTTGTCCTCACATGGCCACCTTCCTTCTGTGTGTGTCGGTCTCTGTGTATAAATTTCCTTCTCCCTGTAAGGGCCCACCCGAATTCACTTTGATCTCATCTTAACGTGGTTACATCTGCCCAGATCCTGTTTCCAAATAAGGTCATACTTACAGGTACTGGGGGATAGGGCTTGAGCATATTTTTTTTCTGGGGATATGATTTAATGCACAACAGGGAATTTGAGAGAAGGAAATCCTCATAGCTTCCCTCTGGGGGTGAGGCAAGCACACACAGGGTTATTTTTCTGAAAAGAGAACGGCATCTTTGAATCTAAAAAAAGAGACAGGCAGGCTTAATGCCTCACTGCCTAAACTGTGGTCATGGCCCTGTGGTCGCCACCTGGGCGCCCTTTTGAGAGCGCTGAATCCTAACTGCTAGACCACCAGGGAAGGGCGCCATTTCGAAATGCAGAATCTGATTCCTCCCAGACCTCCTGAGTCAAAATCTGCATTCTGATGATGTGCCCAGGTAACTTGAAAGCACATTCCAGTTTGAGAAGGCCTGCCCTAAAAAAGATCTGACTTTTATTTCCTTCCCTCTCATAGTCGGTCTGTCCTTCCAGCCTCTGTGTATAAGTTAGCCTGGTTGGAAGCTAGGCACCCACACTGTCCTTTGTGCTCTCTTCACGTGACATGTTCTTGAGTTTCTCTTCTGCGTGTTGAGGTGGGCCACGGGCTTGCCTTTTCTGGAGAGCATCGGCCTTGCTGAGACAGTCCCTTTGTTTCGTTCTTGGGCCGTGTCCGACTTTTTGCTGTTTATTACTGTTGCTGCCATGAACGTCTCTGTACATGTTCCTTTGGGGTTCGTTTCTTGAGGTGGAATTTCCAGAATCAAAGTGCCTGAGTGGTTGTGGACTCTATCACTCTTACATACCTATGGAACCTGATATCACAGCAACTTTCTCTGTTCTACCCAACAGTGCGTAGGAACCTGATTTAAAAGGTCAAGTGGCAGAAAAGGCTTTAGAACCAGACAGGCCAGGGGTCAAATCTCCTACTTTTTTGCTGTATAACATTGGGCAAATTACATAACATCTTTGAACTTGGGATTGCTCTCTTTTCACATGGTAATAGTGCTATAAATTTTGTAGGGATTTTATAAAGACAATCATGACACCACCACCATCCATTTATTGAGCACTTTCCATGAGTTACCTCACTTGATCCTTACATTCCTCTGCAGAGTAGGCATGATCATTCCTTTTTCCCATTTACAGAAGAGGAAACTGAGGCTTGGGTTAAGTAGCTTGCTGAGGTTATAGGGACATTGTATGCCCACGCCCACAGTTGGCATGTCCAGATGGTTAAGGTTTTTGTGATAAGATAGTGTGGATGAAAGAAGATACTGAGCACACTGCTCTAGCACATGACCTGGCTTAGCACTTGTTGGATGCCTGCCTTCTTTTCCCATGCCTTTATCAGTTTTCTTGGGTTACTCTTGAATAGTGGTATCCAGCCCAGCACTGTTTCAGTTGTATGTCATTGATAATTCCCTAGCTTTGTTTTGCGTAAAAACTTTCTCCCAGTGGAAATGAGGTTTGTTTTTTTTTTTTTTTTTTAAGATTTATTTATTTGAGAGAGAGAGAGAGAGCGCACGAGCAGGGGGGTGGGGTGGGGGAGAGGGGGAAGCAGACTTCCCACTGAGCAGGGAGCCTGACGTGGGTCTCAATCCCAGGACCCTGAGATCATGACCTGAGCCAAAGGCAGATGCTCAACCGACTGAGCCACCCAGGTGCTCCCAGAAATGAGTTTTTAAATGATTCAGAGGTCTGGGGTTAGGAGCAGAGCTGGCTCTGATCCCTGCAGCTAACTGGCTACTTCTTCCCTAGGGACAAGGATGGCCAGACTGCTCTTGGATGTGAGCGCTCCTCAGTGCTCCTGGGGCTGACACCGAGCTGGCAGCCATGGGGCTGGGCAGGCTCCAGGCCTGGATGCTGGGCCTTCCTACGGCTGTGGTCTATGGCTCCCTGGCTCTGTTCATCTCTATCCTGCACAATGTGTTCCTGCTTTACTATGTGGACACTTTTGTCTCAGTGTACAAGATCAACAAAGCTGCCTTCTGGGTTGGAGAGGTAGGCCAGCACTGGGCGGGGGGAGCTGGGCAGGTTGCAGGGGTGGGTCCCACCCAGTCCGGAGCAGGGGCAGGCCAGGTTGCCCACCATGATTCAGCAAGAAAAGCTGGAGCTGGAGGTGTTGATGACTCCTCCTTCTCCTGGCCACTGTCCAATGAGTCTGGCACGGTTCTAGATATTCACATATATGATAAAATATATTCACGTATATTTATCAGCTGGATAAATTTACCCTGCATGGGTGGGAGTTTGATGGGGCAGTGGCTGGTGGAGTGGGCTTTAGTAGAGGGACTACGCGGAGCAAAGGTTTGCAGTCAGGAAAGCTGGGCTCATCTTTGAGGGGTGTCGAACAGGCTGGGTAGGGAAAACTCTGGAGAGGAGGCTGCCTGGAGCCCACCTGCCCCATGTCCCCTCTGCCCACAGACGGTGTTTCTCCTCTGGAACAGCCTCAACGACCCCCTCTTCGGCTGGCTGAGTGACCATCAGTTCCTCAGCTCCCAGCCCCGGTTTGTGTCCTGGGGATGGCTCGCAACGGGTCCTGTCCCACCCCACCCCTCCCCAGGGTGCCTGTGTTTGGGGTGGGGAGAGAAAGGGAGACCATTTCAGCTTTTGGCCAGGCTCCCTCCCTTCTCGAGGTTAGGCACGTGGGAGAAGTGGCCTTGACTAACTGTTGCCTTCCTCACCTGGGGAGAGATTCACCCCAGCTTGGCTTGTCAGATCCTCAGAACTGGGAGCTGTACAGCAGACCCTCTCTGCTGCTTCTGGCAGATTCCTTGACCCCATCCCTGCTTGGGCCCAACACTGCCTCGAACCCTGAGAAATAGGTATCCCACCACCCTTTGCCCATCAGCCCTGGCAGGCTGGCAAGGGAGCAGACGAGAGAGTATACCCCCTGGTGAGTTGTCCTTCCTAAGTCAAAGGCTGAGGACGCGGGGCTCAGTGGGCTCACTCTGCCGTGAGTCCCATACTCTGGGCCTCTGTCCTTCCTTTGGGGCCTGGGCAGAGGGGAAACTGGGGCTTGCCCAGTTGGTAAAGCCGCTGCCACCTTTCCTCCTCTCCTTGGCAGGTCGGGCGCCGGGCTTTCCTCGAGGGCCGTGGTGCTGGCACGGGTGCGGGCCCTGGGCTGGCACGGGCCGCTGCTGGCGCTGTCGTTCCTGGCATTCTGGGTGCCCTGGGCACCCGCTGGCCTGCAGTTTTTGCTGTGCCTCTGCCTCTATGATGGCTTCCTGACGCTCGTGGACCTGCACCATCATGCCTTGCTGGCTGACCTGGCCCTCTCTGCCCACGACCGTACCCACCTCAACTTCTACTGCTCCGTCTTCAGTGCAGCTGGCTCCCTCTCTGTCTTTGCCTCCTATGCCTTCTGGAACAAGGAAGACTTCTCTTCCTTCCGCGCCTTCTGTGTGGCCCTGGCCACCGGCTCTGGGCTGGGCTTTATGGGGGCCGCACGGCTGCTTGGGCGGCAGGTTGAGGCGGCTGGCAGGGAGCCAGAGTGCCCAGCCCTGGCTGTGAATGGCGGGTGAGTGGCCTGGCCCAGCTCTCCGGGTTCCCCCCAGCACACGGAGTCCCCTGGCCAATGGGCGGCTGCCCTGGGGTGGTGGATGGCTCTGGCCCAGCCCTAGGCCATCGGTGACTCCCGCCTGCCCTGTAGCCTGTGCGGAGAGGAGCTGCTTACCGGCTGCCAGGACGCAGGTAGCATCACTCTGAGCCAGTACCTCCAGCAGCTCGCACGCCACCGGAACTTCCTGTGGTTCGTGGGCATGGACCTGGTGCAGGTATGGGAGCAGCAACCCCCCCAGCCCCCCGATGGCCAGGATGTGCCTCACTCAGGGGAACAGGCTCCTTAAAAGCTGGGCCTTGTGTGAGCACTGCTGGGCGATTTGCTAGCAGGAACACAGGTCGGGTAGTTGGGAGAGCTGGATTCTAGCACCATCAGAACTGCTCACTCCCTGTGTGATCTTAGGCAGCTCTCTCGGGGCAGCTGTGTCTTCACCTGCAAAGGGAGGCTCTGAAAAAGAGGTGCCCTTTGGGAACTCTGTGACAATCTTTTTAAAACACTAAATGCTGCGCCTAAAACACATGTAGTATGTCAGCTCACCAAGTTCAGAAATAGATGGTGTTTATATCATCAAGCTTGACTTACTAGTGTTTTCAATTAAAGAGAGAAAAACTTAATCATTCAATTTGACAATTTTATCCTTCCTTCTACCTTTTAGCAAAATTAGGAATTTGGTGTTGGGTGTTATTCTGGCATGTTCCGTGTGGAGGGACATGGGGTTAAAGTCTGCTCTTGCTCCCGCCGCTGACCGGTTGGCTTCTGGCCTGCTCCCAGCTGCCCTCCAGCCCAGCAGCCTCCTCACTGCCCCCATTGGGTTGCAGGTGTTTCACTGCCACTTCAACAGCAACTTCTTCCCCCTCTTCCTGGAGCATCTGTTGTCAGACCACATCTCCCTCTCCACGGGCTCCTTCCTGCTGGGTGAGTGGCAGCCGCCAGGCTGCCCGCACAGCTCCCTCCCGAGCCGGGGCCTGGTGCGGGCCCGGGGTGCGGGGGAGCCCGGGGTGCGGGGGTGGGTTACGCTGCTGTGGGCTTGCCCCTCCAGCCTCGCTGTGCTGAGGGAGGAAGCGGTGGGAGCCCGTTGCGCCGTGAGGAGGCGCGGCTGCCCTCCTGGTGTCCCCGTGACGGCGCCCCCAGAGGTGAGGCGGCGCAGTGGCCAGCTCACAGCGGGGCCGCCCGGCTGACGGGCCTGGCTGTGCGTCTTGACTCTTATTCACTGTGTGGCCTTGGCTGGGTTTTCTTTAATCTCTTGGGGCCTCCGTTTATCCCCCGTAAGGTAGGGATGATAACAGGACTGATCCTAAAGGGTGGTGAGGATGAAATAACAGGATGTGAAGCTCGCAGCACAGAGCCTGCCACGCCGATGGTTGGTGCGGAGAGCTGTGGAAGCTGCAGCAGTGCCCCCTCACAAGGCTGCCCCCTTCTGTCCAGGCATCTCCTATGTGGCCCCCCACGTCAACAATCTCTACTTCCTGCCCTTGTGCCGGCGCTGGGGCGTCTACGCCGTGGTGCGGGGGCTCTTCCTGCTCAAGCTGGGCCTGAGCCTGCTCATGCTGTTGGCCGGCCCCGACCGCCCTGGCCTCCTCTGCCTCTTCATTGCCAGGTATGCGCTGCCCTCCCTCACCCCCGCCCCTCTGCTCCACCCCTTCACCCTTGCCCCCTCTCTCTTCGCTGGCAGCAACCGTGTCTTCACGGAGGGCACCTGTAAGCTGTTGACTTTGGTGGTCACTGACCTGGTGGACGAGGACCTGGTGCTGAACCACCGCAAGCAGGCGGCCTCAGCTCTTCTCTTTGGCATGGTGGCCCTGGTGACCAAGCCGGGCCAGACCTTTGCCCCGCTGCTGGGCACCTGGCTGCTGTGCTTCTACACAGGTGAGGGTCCGGGGGCTGGCACTGGGCTCCTGAGGCTCCGGGGTCAAAGCTACAAGCTGGGTCCAGTAAGGGGGAGAGAATGGCAACTGGCCAGCAGAGGCTATTCCTGGGCCCCACCTCCTCTGCTTCTCCCCACGTAGGCAGAGGAACTGAGTCTCCAATTCTTCCCGTCTTTCAGTGGTTCGTTCGTTCGTTCGTTCATTCATTCATTCATTCAACAAACGTGTATAGAATACTTTCACTGTCAGGAGCTGCTCCAGGTCCCTTTAGGGAGATAACAATGGTTTTGCCATCATGGAACTTATATTCTGGTTAGAGGGATGGGTGGGGTTGGCGATAAAGAGCCGAACAAGGAAATAGCAATGGTAGTGGGAAAAGCGATGGTAAAATAGGCAGTGTGACTGAGAAGCTATTTAGTGTGTGTGGTCCAGGAAGGCCTCTCTGAGGAGATGACACCCAGGATGTGGACTGGATGGCAAGAATCTGGTCTAGAAAGATCTCAGTGAATCCCAGACAGGATGGGGGGGGCAAGTACGGAGCCCAAGGTATTAGGAGTGGCTAGGAGATGAGGCTGGGGCAGCAGAGGGCTCTGTCCATCAGGGCAAGGTTTGGATTTTTTTTTTTTAATGTTTTATTTATTTATTCATGAGAGTCAGAGAGAGAGAGAGAGAGAGAGAGGCAGAGGCAGAGGGAGAAACAGGTTCCCCACCTAGCAGGGAGCCCGATGCAGGACTCGATCCAGGACCCTGGGATCATGACCTGAGCCAAAGGCAGACGCTTAACCATCTGAGCCACCCAGGCGCCCAGGGTTTGGATTTTATTCTCAGTGTGAAGAGAAACTATATCAAGGGTTTTAAGCAGGGCAGTGACATGGTCTGATCTGGTTTTTAAAGTTCACCCTGACTGCTGTATGGAGAATGGGCTGTGGGGAGGCTGTGGCAGAAGCCGTGGAAGCTTGAGCAGATGGAGCCAGGGGGGCTGGAAGAAAGTGTCTGTGTGTGGCATGTGTTCTGGAATTCGGGGGAGGGGAAGGACTGGCTGCTGGGGAGTGGTGAGGTTAACCGAAGAATCCAGGAAGACTTTGAGTCTATGGTGTGGATAGTGGTGCCAGTCACCCAGAAGGAAAGCACAGGGGAGAAGCAAGTTTGGGAAAGGAAGTGAGTTGTGGTTCAGAAATGTATGCGCGTCGTTTGAGATGTGGCACTGCGGACCTTGGAGGAGACCAGGGCTGACCCTGTTCTTTCTGCATGCTCTCTCACCCTAGGTCATGATCTCTTCCAGCAGCCCCCACTGACCCCTGTGGGGAGTGCCCAGCCCTGGCCAGAGCCCCCGGCCCCAGCCCCAGCCCAGGCCCCAACACTCCGCCAGGGCTGCTTCTACCTGCTGGTGCTGGTGCCCATCATCTGTGCTCTGCTGCAGCTGTTCACTTGGTCCCAGTTCACACTGCACGGGAGACGCCTGCACATGGTCAAAGCCCAGCGCCAGAACCTATCACGGGCCCAAACCCTGGATGTTAAGATGGTGTGAGAGGCAGGTACTGCAAGGCCACCCTGCTGAGGACACTGTCGCAGCCCTGGGCAGGAGCCACTTTTGCCAGCCCCTCATCCTGCTCCTCTGCCTCCCTGGGGCACAGCCTGGAGGACAGATGGCAGAGTGCGAGCTTCTGGGGCTGAGCCAGGAGCATCACTGAGGTCTAAGTTCCGGCTTGGCTGTCTGGCCCAGCTTGGGCAAGGGCTGGGCTCTATGTGCTCAGGGACCTGCTTCCCCCTGTGGGGCAGGAGGAGGAAGAGGACCAAGAAGGGATGGGGCTACTCTGTGATCACATGGGGTTGCTGCAGGGCATGAAGGCCTGTTCCATCACCTGGTTGGGGCTGGTGCTATGTGTGGGCTCAGAAGCCACTTTCACCCACTCAGGGGAAGCTGTGAGTCCCACCGCCCCCTCCCTCCACGTTTCCAGTGGTTTCTCTGACCTCTCTGCTTCAGTTGTGCCTAAAGTATTGTGTTGCTGCAGGGCTCCCCCACCCCCACCTGATCTCTCAAAGAGGTTCATATCATCACAGACTGATTAAAGTCAGTCATTTCTGTTCTGTTCCTGGGGTCTGTGCTATGCGCAGGAGTGGTGGGTTGGTGGGGTTGGGGAACAGGATTCCTCACTTAATAGGAAAAGCACCCCGAGAACGTTTTTCTGCAGATGAGTTGGTGGGGGTGGGGGTCACCCTCATCAGAGTCACTGAAGTAGCGGGGAGGGCATGCAGACCAGGCTGCATGGGCATTTGTGAGCAAAATGACTCGCAGGCCTGCGGTCATGTCCTGGTGCATTTCCCATGCACCACTGCCAGACATGGTGAGCAAGGAAAAGCAGCTGCTTCCAAGAGGTCTTCAACCCTGGAGTCACTGGGAGCTTTCAAAAATGCTGATGTCTTGAATTATCTTCCCCAAGATTCTGCTGTCATGGGTTCTAGGCTATGGCCTGGGCACAGAGGTTTTGGGAAGCTCTGATTTTCCTATGCAGCTGGGATAGAACACCTGTGCTCCAGGCCAGCATTTCTCAACCTGGAGACATTCAGAGCCGGATAGTCCTTTGTTGCGAGTATTTAAAGCAGCATCCCTGGCCTCTGCCTAGATGACAGTAACATTTCCCTACAGTTGTGACAACTAAATGTCCCCAGACATTGCCAGATGCGTCCCACTTGATTGGAACCTACTGCTCAAGGCCAGTGGTTTCTGAGGGTCTGTGTAGTGGCTAAAAATTGAGGCTCTAGGGCTATATCGCCTGGGTTCAAATCCTAGCGAATAAAGGGCAGAGCTTTGGGAAATTACATAATCTTTCTGTGGCTCTAATTCATCCGCAAAGAGGATAATAAAAATACTTTGCAGGGTTGTTGGATCAAATAGGTTAACATTTGCAAAGTGCCTGGAAAGCCCCCCCAACAAGTATACAGGTTTAAAATGGAGAACTGATTAGTCAGAATATCTGAGTGTGGGCCCCAGGAACTACATTTTAAGCTCCTGAGCTTCTTATCCACGTGCAAGTTTTGACTTCAGGGATGTCAAGAGGTGCTCCCTTCATTGGAGGTAGTTTCAGTCATAGGTTTTAGTGTATGTGCAGGCCTGGGACCCTCAGTTCCTGAAGTGGGGCTTTGGCATGGACACCATCTCTGTATCCACTTGACAGGCTGGGACCTGGGTGAAGGGCTGGCTAAGTCTGGCTGGTACAAGAGTGCCCTCTAGAGGACAGACAAGGCCCAATCACCGCCTCAGATTCAGGGCCCACAGCAATTCTCTCCCCACCCAGCACCAGAGAAAGAGGCCCAGCTGATGCATCTATTGGAACGACTTTATTTAAGTACACTGGGCCCCACCAGGCGACGTGGTTTGTGCAAGGGACAGGCTTGGGCTAGGAGAAGGGAGGTGAGCTGGTTAAGCACGCTGCAGTCCGTGGGCCGCCACATCGCTTTCACACACACCTGCTGCTGTGGCCCATACCTGGCAGGGCCTTTGGTCGTTGGACGGCGTGGGGGAGAATCTGCCTGGAATCTGGGATTGGGGCGGGTTTTGGTGTCACAGGTGAGGGTGCCGGTGAAGATCCGCTAGCCCCAGCTTTGCACCATCTGGGCTAAAGAGCCTTTGGACACTGCGAGGCCAGCCCAGTCCAGGGTAGGCACCTGGCCCCTCTGGATCAGGGGAGATGAGCCTGTCAGCTCCTGGCACTCTGATCTGGCCTCCTCCCTCCTTTACCAGATAAGTCCAAAGTTAAGAACGGCACAAATCAGCCCAGTTGGGGCCTTATCACCTCTACAACCTAGCCCCCCTGGGGCAGCTAGAGTGGGAAAAGGCAACCTGGTTAATGGTGGCTCTTTCTCCAGTCCTAAGGGGGCTGGATCCCCTTATACCCCTCCTTTGCTGGAGGCCTCTGCCAAAGAGTGATTCTACCTCCTGTTTCCAAAAAATCCAACTGGCAACCAGCCTGTTGATTGCAGGGCAGTGAGCAAATGGAAGAGGAAGAAAGAAAGAGGCTGGTGGTAGTGACTTTGAATGTAGCCTCTGATCCTAAATAGGCCTGAGGCCTGTGGATACTGTTAGTTCACCATTAGCAGGGAGTGGCGGGGCCCTGGATGCTATGCTAAACTGAGGTGCTGTAAACATTAGTGTGAACAGGGTGACTGGTGGGCAGGAGGCTATGGGCTCCCTCTCCAGTCCCATACTGAACAAACGTGTCAATAAATAAAACTGTTTGAAGATGGCATTGCCCAAGGATGGATGAAAAGCAAGTAACAGGGCCTGGGGCCAAGGGCTCCTGAAACTCTCCCGAGACCCCCTGGACAGGGGCTGGGGGTTGGAGCTTTCACTCTGCCACCAATCAGAAGTATAGCACTACTCCTGCCTCTTCAAATGCCCAGTGTGGTCCTGGTCCCCAGGTGAGGTTGAGGGCCCCCTGCCATCTCCTGACCCCAAAGTCTCAGTATTAGCTCCTGGAGTGCTTTCCCACCCAAACCCAAATTGCAACAAAACCAGACAGAACTCAGCTTCAGCCCCATGATCAACTGGCATCGAGAGCAGAAGGACGAGCAAGGGAGGCAGTGGGCCTCAGGGCACCCTGGGGGTGGGATGGGGTGGGGCTAGCCCAGCCTGGGGTGGGCAGCAGCAAGATCTCCCGGGATTTACCCTCTCTGTCTCCCTATGGTAGTAAACATAGTCCCACACAGCCAGACAAAGGCCCAGCTGACGAAGGAGTGGAGCCCTCTGCCAGCACTCTTCCCTGTCAGGGGCCAGTTAGTGGTCAACCCCAGGCCTCAGGCCGTTGCCATCATGGGTAGTTCATCGTCCTTTCTGGGCCCTGGGATTCCTGGGCCACACGGCTCTCACATATGCGCACACATTCGTACCCACACACACTCACACACACAGGCAGTTCCTCGCAAACACTCCGACTCAAGAAAGCGAGTTTTAAAGTGGAGTTAACTTCAGAGAGAGGTGAAGATGATGTCCCAACATTAGAAGGTTTTCCTATGGATAGATCGGGCACCGTCTTCCTCATATTCCTTCTTGGAGACCCACATCTTCTTAAAGGTGTCCAGGGAGGCGAGGATGGAGCCCCTGGAGTGGAGGGAATCCCAAGGAACGTTGTGAGAGGGAGAAAGTAGGTATTCGTGTCCCCGTGGGGCCAAAGCAGACAAGGCTTTGCTTTAAAGGGATGGGGTGGTGAGGGGTAACGATGCCCTTACTTCCTGTTCCGCTCTTATTCCCAGGAGAACTACTCACCCAATCCATGTGGAATACAGCCTTTCCTGAGGTGCAGATATCTGAAAGGGTTGGTGGAAAAAGGACTCTGAGACTTTCATCCTCCTTGTCCCTTTCCCGGCCAACGCTCATCTTTACAGCCAATTCCAATGCCCAAGGCAGTGGATGCATTTCACACAGTGTCCCTGCTGGACCCCGTGGCCTCTCTGGGGGGTACTGTGGCCAGCCTAACACGCATCTGGAGGAGATTTCCAGCAGCCCTAAGTATCTGTAGCTGTCAGGGAAGCTGGAGCTGTCGGTACAAGATTCAGCTCTCGGGGGCCGACTGGAAGAAGACTCTGTGGCAAGATCACACTCCTTCATTTAGCTCCCCTTAGCAAGCACTAAGATGGTGGGCTGTGTCACAAGGGAGCACCAGGAGTCAATCTGCCAACGTGACGGTTTCTCTGAAAGACCTCACGTGGGGCCCTCAGCCTAGCAGCCTGCCCCATCAGGGTATCAGAACCGCCCCCTTTTGTTGGGAGGGAGAAGGAAAATGGGTTCTCCCCTCTGGCAGACCTCCAGGTCAGTGTGGAAGCTCGAGCTGTCTAGCCTCGGAGGGGAGGCCCGGTTCCACGCAGCCCCAGCCCTGCCCCCACCACGCTCCTACCCTGATCTTCACGTCTTTTGGAGCCAGTTTCTTCACTTCGCTCAGTAGCCTGTCACCGAAGCCTGAATGGGCAGGAAAGGAGAATCTCAAGTCAATTCTCTGGGCATCTGGGCCCAGCCAGATATGGACACTTCCTTGGCAATGGGCCCTGAGAGCAAAGACCAACCTTTGAACAGGGTGGAGCCTCCTGAGAGGACAATGTTCGAGAAAAGCGTGCGCCGCAGGTCCATGTCTGACTTCTGGATGGCAAACACCAGCACCTCGTGGATGCCCTCACTCTCCTCTCCAATCAGGTCTGGCCTGAACAGCAGCTCAGGTGCCCGGAATCGGGAAGGACCAATCTGCAGGGTGGAGGGCAGACTCAGAGGCTGGGCCCAGGGCTGAGGTCCCTTTGGGAGTGAGAATGGAAGAGGCCCCTCTGCCCATCTGTTAGTGACCAGGTGGCTAGGAAGGCCAGGCTCAGGGAAGACCTGGTATGTCAAGGGCCTCAAAACACAAAGACAAGGCTCTTGGGAATAATCAGGAAACAAAAAGGGACAAAGAGACCTCTTGGGAAATTAGAGAGGACGCTCTTATGTTTATTCCTAGCTCTGGCACTTTCCAGCCAAGAGACCTTTGGCATTAATACATGGGTTTATTCATTCATGGAAATTTCTTCCTATTAATGCAGGTCCAAGAAGAGGCAGCTCACCCTATACTGTGCCCAAATGATTACAAACAGCACTAACCACCCTCTTCCAAACCCCATCCTGACCTCTGGTGCCTCCTCTCCTCCACATAGGAGAAGCAAAGTCCCTGATGCCTCGCTCTGCAGGAGACAATGCTATTCGAGAGCTCTAGGGCTCCAGGGAGAGGGTGTGAAAGGGCTGATGCATGTGACCCCAGCCTCCCCCTGCGGAGTTCTGTTGGGGCCCAGAGCTTCTGGGGGGACTGAAGGGAGATCCAGACCTACCTCAATGGTGCTGCCGTCAGGCAGGTAGTACTGAGCCTTCTCTGTCTCTAGAGTCTCATCCTTCTGTGGGTTTATGGACAGGTAGCAGGCTCTCTGCAGAACCGAGCAGGAGTTAGGCAGGCAGGAAACCTAGGCCTACCTGGTCAAAGTCCCAGTGCTGCTGTGGACATCTGCTCATCCACAGTGA